CTCAGGGTACTACACAAACAACAGCTTTATTTAGTTATACACCACTCCTATTTTCTTTTTTTTTTAACTTACGAAAAGTTAGAATTGGGGCAATGTGAAATTGCAGCTCCACGAAGACTAAAAAGTTTCAGCTCTTCTTCAGAAAGATGACAGGCATGAGCCATCACTGTCTAAAGAAAATGAGAATCACCAATTTACTCAGTATTTCATTTACTTCTGTGGCTGTGAGGTTTGTTGCATGGCTTTAAATAGCCAAAAAGAACATGTTACCATCTAGTGAAATGAATGCACTTCTTGAACGAAGCTCTTAAACTTACAAGGAAAAAACTGATTAGTTTGTCAGTGTGCCTGACATCTCATTCCTTCAGCTTTTTTGCATTTTTAAAATATAAGGTGCCTGCTCTTGCAGTGATTTGCAGTGACCAAAGACAAAAGCGAGAACTTCCCAATTGTCCCAGTGCCATAGCAAGCTTACAATTTATATTTTGTAGCTAACACAGAAATTAAGTACTGGATCTAGGAATAATCAGATAAAATAGAAGATGTATGTAATGTTTCCTATTGGGTCTCTAAAGGTTTGCACCAGGGAGAGAGGAAGAGATTAAATATTCTTTAAGTAAAATAATCTAATTTTTTATGCAACTGATAAACTACATTTATTTCTTATCCTACATAACTGACATTAAAAATAAGCTCACAAGAAAAACATGAAAGTATAGGATAGGATAATTTAATAGTGCATAAACCAATTATTCCCATACAAATCTAATTGGCATTACCTCATATGCCAAATGTCCACTGAAAGAGAAGAGCAAGAGTTCTGTAAGATCTAGCAATCTGCATATAAAATTGAGTATTGCACAGAGACTGCTTCCACTGAGCATCTCCTAATAACATTGTGCCTCTCCCATCTCTACTCGTCAAGCTCAGTGTAGCTGAAAACTCAAGGAGAATAGCCACGTCTTCAGATAAGGACCTACATATGGTAGCTACTGAAGCATATCCCTGCCAATCTGTACTGTTTTTAAAAAGAAACATTTCAGCAACAGCTCAAAAAGCCCCCTGCTTTTAAAACACTTAAAAAAAAAAATTGACTTGGTGACTTAGTTTGAGTGGATGGGGAGACAATATCTGAGGTTCTACTGCTATGCTTGTATTTAATAGAATGCTTTCCAAATACCCAGGAGCCTGACTCCAGCAGGCACCTGTAATCATGACTTTTCATTACCATTTTCACTTGTGTGCATACAAGTCACAGAATTAAGACCAGTGCTTTTGCAGCACAAATATGCTCTTTAGAACACTCACTCAGAACATCAAATCAGCTTGCAAAAGACCATGTGAGGAAAAAAAGATTAATACTGTGTACATACTTCTCTAGTCTGTATTGATTTCTCAAGCAAAAAGAAGAATAAACAAGTCATTCACCGGGGTATGACTTCAAACACAGAAATGGGAGTGCAAGAGCTAATTCCCAGGGAGTTTCCAGCTTCTCCTTGTGCATCTGAAAATTCTATCCCATATTTTTTAATGAACTTGACTGATGTCTAAATACTCTGACTGTAGTTGGTTTGTTCATATTCACTTTTGCATGGGCAGTCCACTATTTAGTTAGGTGTGCCATGGCTCTCCAGCCTGTAATAACAGTGGGCAGGTATATCACATTTATCTCAACAGCATAAAGCTGACTGAATTTCAATTCTTCAGGCTATTATGCCTCTTGAAGATTGGTAAAATCAGCTGGTAAAATGAGATGAGAGTGCTTTTGGATAGTCAGAGCGATAAAGTGCACCTGTCTGCAAGCAAGGTTGATGATCAGAATTAAGCAGGGAGGGCTGCTTCTCCATAGGAAGAAAATTAATTTGGTTCTAATGTAACACCACAGAAGAAATCTTCAGGCAAGCCATTGTGCAAAAACTGGATAATGTCCTTGCAATATAAGGATAACTAGGTACTGTCCAAGAATTACCAATTCATACAAAACCAGCTTTACCTAGCTTCCTTCTAATCCCACTGCACTAATTCTTTTTGGAGCCTTTGGAAAATTAATCAGGAAGCATAAAAATATGTTTATTTTTCACCCCCTCTAAAATGCTTAGTAACAGTGTGGGCTTGTTTAAGATCCAACACCTCAACAGAGAACATAAAACAAATTTACTTTTTCCCAGATGTCACAGACCTTGACAGAACAATACAGATTTTTCAGGTAAGTACAGAAAACCATCATATTTTCTACATGGATTAATGCAAGTTATGTTGGGGAAGTTTTTAATGGGGCTACCTTGCTGGTTAGCAGCTTGTTTTTATCATACAGTTCAGTGTAATTCTGGTAGGCAGGAAACATGTTCTCCACAAGTTTGACTTCCTCTTCATTCTCACTTATGTGACTCTGCAACAAGAAAATGCATAGAGTTCTTTAAACAGCACTGAACCTGACATTACAATCTGAGCAATCTCCTGATGTTAAACATACATTCAGAAAAAACAGTGTTTGTAAAGCCTATAGTTAGATCTAGTCCTTGCATTTCTTTTTTCCTCAGACCTGAAGAAGCTTTCACAGGACCTAAAGAAGTATCTCCATTTGTTCTTTTACAAGTGATATGAGATGATACATGAGTCCATCCCAGTAGTGTGGCAACACAATGGCCCCACTTCCAGTTTTTGGAAGATGTTAAAATAATAGATAAAATAATACACAATGTGATTGTGAGGTAAAAGAGAGAACAAGCCTACAACGGAGTAGATGCTGAGACCAGGGCAGCAGATGTTTATCTCCTCCCAAAGGCATCTTTAGATGGTCAGCATGCTGTCTGTCCGTGCCATTTAAATGGCACACAGAGCTCTCAGAGCTTACCTGCACACGGAGATCGTGGGTTTGTGCTAAATCCCCAAGGGCATTCAGCAAGTCCTCTGTGCAGGAGGGGCCAAAGCGGGGGGTTATTATAGGCTGTACTCTGGGATACTGAAAATAATAGAAGATGGAGTTTGTATTCTACATATATATTTCAGAAACCATAAGTAAGACTAGCAGTTACATGACAATTACATTTTGTCTTCATTTCTTGCTGCTTACTGCATCCTTGCCAACTCAAATTTAGCTGTATAGTAATTTCCTTGCTTTCATTAGACATTTCATTGCAGAAACAGAGAATGAAAGTGTGGGTTTCTTACAACAATTTTAATGAACTTTATTAAAGAGTTTGTTTTCATTAGAACTGTCATCAAGTCATTGAAATTTTACCAGTCTTCAGCAGCACTGGATTCTTTCTCATATTTGCTGACAGCCTACATGGATGATGAGAAATAAGTCAGTTGAATGACCAGATATTTTCCAGTCCCACTTCTTGTGACCATTGAAGATACAATGATGCAAAACTGCAAGCTTCTGTAAAACCAAAGCCATTTTCTTGTTCAATCTTCTCTACTTATAACAGCAACAAAGCCCTGAACTCCCTAGACAGAAGGAATAGTGGTATAACCAGATATGTTATAGAGTAGGAAACAGTGGGGAAGACACCAAGAACTACAGAGGTTTACACCTCGCATCTCTAGATTAAGATTTTCCTAAGGAAATTGTCAACAGGATTACAGTTCTGTCATCAGTCAGAGGCAAGAGTTTTGTACAAGCCAGTAAGTGATAACTTGGACTCCAGTTCTTTGTATTATGCCCCAGAAAAAAAGGAGCTTGTGTCTTTGCAAATTAGCCAGCTTACTCTAGTAAGAGTTTGGGCATCACTGTAGTGATACATACCATTTAGGCATTAAAATCCAGGCAACTGCTCCTGAATATTTTGAGATGAGATGTCAGAAGAAACCATTGAAAACTAAAGGCTGATAAGAAAAGTACTACTGTGTATAATACTGGAGTGTAAAGTTCTATCTTTACCACAGAAGAGTAAGCATGAATTTCTTTAGAAACATACTATAAGGCATGTGCTGACCTAAAACATTGATTTTATAGTGGATTAGTAACTTTACTTTACTTACTTTACTTAAAGAAGCAATGATTTCTGCTGGTGAGGATTCCTTCAATTAGTCTGTCTACTTATATTCCACAGAGTGATGAACCGAATTCCACCTTTCTTAAATGAGAGATTGTCCTCTCTAGGAATCCAGGTATTTCAAACTCGATAGAGAAATGCGCAAGACATTGCTCTGCTCTGAGCACAGAAAACTGATTTTATGCTATTACAAGTGCACATTTCTCAACATGACTAGCAGAACATTTTTCAGAATGGTATCTGTCTACTACACAGAAAGATACATATTTATTGATCTTTCACTAAGACAACAGATTTGGACAGCAGGATTATTTATTTCATGTGTTCACACAGCATCTTCTGAATACAGAAGTGAATTCAAAAAAGAGCACTACTTACTTTCTTTTCTAGTAGTTCTTTAACAAACCTGAAAAAGGGTAGAAATAAAGTTGCTATAAATCTGTCCTCTATGTTATAGATTATGAAAAATACAAAAAATATATACTTGGACACCCTGTTACACATTTCAGACCGATCAATTTTTTTACAGAACCTTGAGCCAGATTTTCAGATGAAATAAAAAGAGGGAACACAATGAAGTCAGGATAGTGACACCAAATTATGCTCCTTTTGAATTTGACTCTGAACATGCAGACTAATGAAAGTTTTTTCATCTAAATACTTAGCATTAGACAAGCCATAATTATTCTGAGTTCTCCCTGAAAACCAAACACATGCTGCATTGAATGAATTGAAAACAAAATTATAACCTACAGCTGCAATATTGAAGAAAATAAAAAAAAAGCCAAACTTTGTCCATGAATTCAAATTGCAGTGTTTAAACCTTTTCAAATCCAAATATTAGAATATGCAGCAATATTTTATATCTTACATTAGGGTGCATATGTCCTCATTCACTTGAAGAACCCTTGATTTTTTGGAAATGCTTATATTAGTATTAGCATACAGATGATATATCTTCCAGAAAATAAAGATTTACTTTGTTAAATAAAATGCTACCTGAGACCTCTACAAAAAACCGCAAGCAGACACTTGCTAGATGCAGATCGATGCAGATCGCCAAACTAAACTTCCTCCTACTTTGAAAGGAGGAAATTCTTTGAAAGCCCATCTGTTCAGCGCATGTAAGTGACTTCCGAAAGACAGTTTGAAATGCTTTCTGGACAGGATCTCTTGTGCTGGTTTCCCATTAATTGATAAGAGGAGGAGTAAGGAGAAAAGAAACCACCCATGGAAATTATTTCCCTGAGAGAAGCCAAGAGCTTCCTCTGTGCCTGGATAAATCCAATAGCTGGCTAGCTCTGAGAACTCACAACCTATTAAACCATTTAGAAGCATTCCACCTCTGTGAATTCCACATTTTAAAAACAGACAAGCCCGGGAACTCTGTCTCTTGCTTCCAGCCTTGAAAGTTAAGTGAGCTCTGGTGCGGCCGGCCATGCTCCGCCGCAGCCTGAGCGGCCTGGCGGGGCCGGGCCCCGGCACCGGCAGGGTGGGGACGGGAGACCGCGGGGCCCCGGCCAAAGCTGGGCCAGTTCACAGCTGCTAACATCTTGCTCACACAGCCCTCTCCCCGTCATCGGCCGCGCCGAGCTGGGCTCCACTGAGCCCCAGGAGCGGCTGCAGGCCGGGCCAGGCTCCCTCCCCTGCGGCGTCCCCACAGCGAGTGCCAGTCAGCGGGAGGGGCCCAGCGCAGCCTGAAGTCCGTCACCGTCACTGCTGCGGCCACTGGCCATGACCATCTGCAGGTCTGGACGAGATACTAACCCTTTCACAGATGAGACCTGCAGACCTTAATCCTCTCCAGGGAGAGAAAAGAACAGAGTGACGTAGAAAACAATATGAAGACGCCAAGGTCAGTAAAGAAGGAGTCTAGTCCTAGGTGGAAGGAGAATGAGGAGATTCCCTAGTATGGAGGCTGAAAGTTCTTTTGGTAAGGCCACAGAGATGGATTATGATACACTAAAATATTCCCTTTAATTCGTGAGAACGTAT